GATGAGAGATTAATGTTTGAATATTTTATTTATTTTTACTTTTAAAATTAAAAAATTAAAAATTAAAAATTAATTTTTAAATAATTTAATAAAAAATAAATAAATAAAATTCGAGTAATTTTAGATGACTCAATCCACCCATAACCAATCCATTTGGATTTAGATAATTTCAATTCAGATTATTTCAGATTTAAAACGAATACATAAAACCCATAATCTTACCCTAATGGATAAGTTGCGTTGAATTTTCGGATTAGCTACAATTTTGTCAGGTCTACTGACGTAGGAAAAGGAAATGTAGTTGCCACAGTGGACCATCTTGGTTCCCAACCAAGAAGTCAATGTAGTTGCCAGAGTGGACTATTTTGGTTTCCGACCAAGAAGTCTTCCTTACGAAGCAATTGTTCCATTGCACTGGAAGGAAGTGAGACATGAACCTGGGTAAAAAATTCGCTTTGCTTTTTTAAAAAATAATGCGCAAATCTATAGACTCAATTATCAATTAATTACATTTTAAAAAATTAATACAAACAAGCAGCGTGAGCCTTCATTCTATTCTATTCTGTTATGTTCTCCAATCAAAATTACTCGTTCCTTCTCTATTCAGTTTCTTCCAAAAACTGCATCCCCTCTGCAATTTGTTCATTGAATTGCGTTTTTCCTTCTACTTACCCTTTGGGGTTTCATTCGAGAGTAGTTTAAGGTATTAAGCAAATAAAAAGCTAAACAAAAATGGAGCAAGATTGGCTACGTATATACCTCGACATGGTTGGTGCTTGAGATATTATTATTATTATTCTTTAAAAAAAAAAAATTGGCGCTGGAGGTGGTTAATAATCTTATTATTTTCCCAAATTTGTGGGGTAAAAAAAAAATTACTACGGTGTCTTAAGTTCTTAAATCTCTCATTAAAAGTATTATAAAAATTAATGATAGATATATCATATTTCAATTAATGCTAATTATGGTAGTTAGAGGAACATCTTAACTGGTTGTAGATTTGAAGTTTAAATATTAAAATGAGTAAAGAGGGATTAAATGAAAAGAAGGATTATTCAAATTATATAATTTATTATTTGATTTCTGATATACCAAAAAAATGCTTATATATCATCACCAAAATCAAACCTTTTTTTATTACGGAAACATTTTAACCGTAGCATCATGCCTGATCTTAGCTTTGTGACTCTCAAAATTAAGGTTTTGCTAATTTAGTTGTTTTAAGTGGAGATAAAATACATTAATGACTTAAGTATTTTAATAATAGTCTTTTTTAACTAAAAATAAGAGAATTTGAGTGAGTTACATTTTATTGAACAATAAATAAAAAAAAAAAGGAAGAAGGTGGTGGAGATAAAAGATAAGGCATGTACAATTGTACAAGGAAACAGGTTAACTGTGACAGGAAAATTAGTCATAAAAATTGATTTTTTTGGTCACAAATTATATTTGTATCTAAAATTTGATTGGTCACTGTCCGTTACAAATATTAAGTCACTAAAAGTAATAGTAATTAATTTTGGATTCGTGACAATAAATCATGATTTTAGTTACGATGAAGATGGACATAATTACTATCGTATTTGTAATGAATTTTTGCGTTGTAATGAATTTTTGCGTCATAATGATGACTATTTGTGACAAAATAATTAGACACAAAAAGAAACCTTTTTTTTTTTTGAACAGCCAAAAGTAATATTAATTAAAAAATAGAATACAAGGGTACCCCAAACCCATTAATATCCCAAACCCATTAATATCCCAACTGGAAAAGCATAAGTTTACATCCGTACGGTGTCGACACCAAAATTGTGTGTCAACACCGTGTCCGTGTCGGAGTTCTTGGTGCTCACCGTATGGTGTCGACACCAAATTTATGTGTCGACACCACTCCCGTGTCGGGTTTTCTGTCCTCTTTTGCAATTTCTCCACATCTCACTATTTTGATCATCAAACCCACTGGCACGAGAAAC